AGTGTGTGTGTCTGTCAAAGAGTGTGTGTCAGTGAGAGTGTGTATGTGTTAGTGTGTATGTCTGTTAGTGAATGTGTATGTCTGTCAGTGTGTGTATGCATGTCTGTCACTGAGAATGTATGTCTGTTAGCGAATGTATATGTGTCTGTCAGTGAGTGTGTATGTGTGTTTGTCAGTGTGTCTGTCAGTGAGTTTATGTCTGACACTGCGTGAGTGTATGTCTGTCAGTGAGTGTGTATGTGTCTTGTCAGTGAGTGTTTATGTGTAACTGTCAGTAAATGCATGTGTCAGTTAGTGTGTCTGTCGGTGAGTGTGAGTGTGCATGTGTTTGTCAGTGAGTGTGTATGTTTCAGTGAAAGTGTGTGTTGGTTAAACAGTGTGTGTGACAATGACTGTGTATCTGTCAGTGAGTGTATGTCAGTGTATGATTTAGTGAAGGCTTGTGTCTCTTAGGCAAAAAGAGTGTTGGTTTTTAACTGGAAGTGAGATTTAGAAGGGGGTGGATGTTGCCTGAGTTTTGTCATGCCTAGGGTAGCACAAAACCAGAATACACCACTGCGAGGGTGCAGAGTATAGGGAGAGAATGCCCTGCGAAAATGTCCTTGGGAAATTAAATTTTTTAATACTGTCAGGTACCCCCAATGAAGGTGGTCAAAAGCCTTCTCTGCATCCAGCACAAGAGTAAGGCGTGACATTTTGTTAGTCTCCATAAGTTCAAGTAAGTCTAGTGCTTGTCGGGTGTTGTCCTCCACTTGTCGACCAGGGACAAACCCCGCCTGTTCAGGTGAAATAATCTCAGTAAGAAAGGGTCCCAACCTGCAGGCTATCACCTTGGCCAACAGCTTTGTGTCCGCGTTCAAAAGCGATATCGGGCGATAGTTCACACAAGATGTAGTCGCCTTGCCTGGTTTCGGTATTGTGACAATAGTTGCTTCTAACATTTCAGGAGGTATTCGTTCTGTGTCAAGAATGTAGTTAAAGAGGGCGGTTAAATGAGGAGATGAAATGTCATATACAGGGAGTGCAGAATTATTAGGCAAATGAGTATTTTGACCACATCATCCTCTTTATGCATGTTCTCTTACTCCAAGCTGTATAGGCTCGAAAGCCTACTACCAATTAAGCATATTAGGTGATGTGCATCTCTGTAATGAGAAGGGGTGTGGTCTAATGACATCAACACCCTATATCAGGTGTGCATAATTATTAGGCAACTTCCTTTCCTTTAGCAAAATGGGTCAAAAGAAGGACTTGACAGGCTCAGAAAAGTCAAAAATAGTGAGATATCTTGCAGAGGGATGCAGCACTCTTAAAATTGCAAAGCTTCTGAAGCGTGATCATCGAACAATCAAGCGTTTCATTCAAAATAGTCAACAGGGTCGCAAGAAGCGTGTGGAAAAACCAAGGCGCAAAATAACTGCCCATGAACTGAGAAAAGTCAAGCGTGCAGCTGCCACGATGCCACTTGCCACCAGTTTGGCCATATTTCAGAGCTGCAACATCACTGGAGTGCCCAAAAGCACAAGGTGTGCAATACTCAGAGACATGGCCAAGGTAAGAAAGGCTGAAAGACGACCACCACTGAACAAGACACACAAGCTGAAACGTCAAGACTGGGCCAAGAAATATCTCAAGACTGATTTTTCTAAGGTTTTATGGACTGATGAAATGAGATTGAGTCTTGATGGGCCAGATGGATGGGCCCGTGGCTGGATTGGTAAAGGGCAGAGAGCTCCAGTCCGACTCAGACGCCAGCAAGGTGGAGGTGGAGTACTGGTTTGGGCTGGTATCATCAAAGATGAGCTTGTGGGGCCTTTTCGGGTTGAGGATGGAGTCAAGCTCAACTCCCAGTCCTACTGCCAGTTCCTGGAAGACACCTTCTTCAAGCAGTGGTACAGGAAGAAGTCTGCATCCTTCAAGAAAAACATGATTTTTATGCAGGACAATGCTCCATCACACGCGTCCAAGTACTCCACAGCGTGGCTGGCAAGAAAGGGTAAAAAAGAAGAAAATCTAATGACATGGCCTCCTTGTTCACCTGATCTGAACCCCATTGAGAACCTGTGGTCCATCATCAAATGTGAGATTTACAAGGAGGGAAAACAGTACACCTCTCTGAACAGTGTCTGGGAGGCTGTGGTTGCTGCTGCACGCAATGTTGATGGTGAACAGATCAAAACACTGACAGAATCCATGGATGGCAGGCTTTTGAGTGTCCTTGCAAAGAAAGGTGGCTATATTGGTCACTGATTTGTTTTTGTTTTGTTTTTGAATGTCAGAAATGTATATTTGTGAATGTTGAGATGTTATATTGGTTTCACTGGTAATAATAAATAATTGAAATGGGTATATATTTGTTTTTTGTTAAGTTGCCTAATAATTATGCACAGTAATAGTCACCTGCACACACAGATATCCCCCTAACATAGCTAAAACTAAAAACAAACTAAAAACTACTTCCAAAAATATTCAGCTTTGATATTAATGAGTTTTTTGGGTTCATTGAGAACATGGTTGTTGTTCAATAATAAAATTAATCCTCAAAAATACAACTTGCCTAATAATTCTGCACTCCCTGTAGTAGTAAGTGGAGAAGCTGTCAGGACCTGGGGCTTTATGTTTAGGCGTTGCTTGTATAGCTCTTGAGACTTCGTCAGGCTTGATTGGCCTGTCTAAGTCAATAGCCTGGCCTCGGGAGAGCTGTGGGAGTTCCACTCCATCTAGGAAACCAGTAATATCTTAGTGCGTCGGTTGGTGTTGCAAAGGAGCTAAGGAGAGATTGTAGAGCGACTCGTAGAAAGAAGCAAATTCATCTACTATAATTTTAGGGTTAGTCAGTTTGACTCCAGCATCAGTAAGCAGGCTCGGTATTCTCGCTTGGGTGGCCTTACGTTTAAGGTGCGCAGTTAGGAGTTTCCCTGCCTTATTGCCCTGTCTATAAAATTCACATCTCATTTTACAGAGTGCTCTCTCTACCTGCTGTAGCTGGTGAGTCTCTATCTCAGTCTTAAGTTTGTGTAAAAGTGTTCGGTTAATATCCATAGGTGAAAACTTATGATGACCTTCTGCCTTCCCACACTCCTGGAGGAGCTTATCGCTTTTAGCAGAAATTCTTTGTTTAAGTTGGACCCCTGGTTTAATCTATGATCCCCTGACAACTGCCTTATGGGCAAGCCAGGTTGTGGGTATATTTATGTCAGCATAGAGATTGTCCACAAAAAAGTCTACGATAGTTCTCCTCAACTCTGCCGCCTGTGTTTTAAGGTCGAGGAGCAATTCATTTAAACGCCACACACCTCGCCCTCTAGTTAGGTAGAGTGTGGTGAAAGTGGAAAGAAGCATTGCGTAGTAAGACCAGGTTAATGGGGAGATCTTGACCTCCTTCGGTGTGTCAAGTGTTTTAATATCTGTAAGACAAATGTCTATACGGGAGTACAGGTTGTTAATCTTTGAATAGAAAGTGTAGTCCCTGATGGCAGGATATAGAGATCTCCAGGTATCATGTAAGCCATAAGTCTGCAGAAGGGCCGTCAGTTTGGTAGCTAAAGTGGTGGAGCGCGAATGTGAGCCCACCATTCTCGATCTGTACAGATCCGGGTTCAGCACACAATTGAAGTCCCTACAAACGATCATCTGTCCCTGCCTAATTTTGTTTAGTTTATTCATAGCTTTCCTAATAAAGTCATATTGGTTAGTATCGGGGGCATACAGGCAGGGACGTATTTGCCGCAAGGCAAACAAGGCATTTGCCTTGGGTGGCAATTTTCAGGGGGCAGCAAAACACGCTGCCCCAAAATGCCCAGGCAAATACCTTGTTTGCCTCGTTTAATGGGAGCCCAAGAGCTGGCAGGCTGTCCACCTTTGGGCTCCTCCAGGGCAGGCGGGCAGTTGTTTCCCGGGCGGGCGGGCAGTCACACTATGCTGTCAGCGAGAGAACTGAGCAGAGAGCTCAGGGGAAAGTGCTCCCTCGCTGACAGCATAGTGTGACTGCCCGCTGTCTCCCTCCTTCCTGGTTTGGTTGGGGCCAATACCCCTATTCCCATGGACACAGTATTGAGCACCTCATGAATGACATCAAAACAATACAACATAAAAACATAACAAAAGTATATACAAAACAAAGAGCATTATAGCATCATGTAGAGACCGGCTGGTCAGCAGCGACCACTCAAATAATGGTTGTCGCTACTGATCGGAGCAGTCCCGGGTAGGGGCCTGCGTTTCCAAGTGGGACCAACAACTAGCTCTAATTGCGCAACTCTGTTACAGCTATCCGAGGGACCTCGTTGTTAGTGAGTGAAAGCCAAGAACTAGGTGATAAATTACAGGGGTCAAGTAGGCATGTCGAGGGGGTGGGTAGGTATTACAAGGCCTAGGTACCCATCGCACTAAATCGCCAGACATAATAGGTGTACAGGCATTAGAATTGGGGTATATGTTGTGCTAAGGCAGAATATCTGCCAGTCAGCTGTGGGTTTTATATTATTTTTGTATGTTGTATCATTTTATTTTTTTTTGTTAAATATTTTTGTCGCTTTTTAATTTTAAATATTTTTTTTGTAATGTGTTGTTTCTGTCGTAGCCACTGCTTCGAGCCATGATATGTTCGGTTCTGAGTGGCAGTAGCAGGGTGCGTGTAGATGGTGCATTGTGTGCCTACTTACATGGTGAACCTATTCAACTCCCAGAACCCCTATAGGTCAACCATCAAACCCCTATAGGTTTACCATCAAACCTCAGGAATAAAACAAAAAGCGTCCACAACCTGGCTTTTTGTATAGGCTGCACTCAGAAACATTCAGTCCCTTTTGCCTGTCACTGGAAAGTAGTCGTGAGTCATTTCAGCTTCTGGACTTTCGTCAATTCTGGGGTCGCCTTCCTTGGAGAAGTGGTGGCAGGTTGTGTCGTTTTCCCGGGTAAAGTCCCCATGAGCATAACAACTCCATGTCATTTTCCGGTTCCTCAATTTACGTGAGGGAGCCATTGCACCAGCTCAGGAGCTATGTTGGAAAGCCCCACCGATACGGGATTTTGTTATATCGGAGGCATATGGTTATGTTGACAAAATCCTGTCTCCGAGCCATTGTTGGCGCTAAGTCAGCATATAGGGTTATCTTGTTATCTGGCATCACCTCTGTCTTCCTTTGCGCTGTGAGCACAGCTTCTTCGGAGCTATAGTAATCCAGCCTGATGATAATGGCCCTTGGGATGTCTTGTTCCGGGTTTTTGGGCTTGGGCACATGATGGGCTCTGTCAATGCGCAAGTCACCTTGTCCCAGGTCTGGAGCCAATGCTTGAAAGAGACCCTGTAAGTAGGTATGTAATTCCTCTGTGGGCATCGACTCAGACATGCCGCGGACGCGAATATTATTGCGCCGGGATTGATCCTCCTAGTCTGCCAGCTTCTCAATCTTGTGGATCTTGTCCACTACCTCATTGTTGGCGAGGCATAATTCATCAGTGCATTCCTCCAGGGCACCTATGCGTGCACCAATATCATGTACCTCCTTACGTATGTCTTCCACAGCAGTTTGGAGATCCGCTTTCCTGGAAGAACGCAAACCCTGCAGCATAGCTGCCAGCTTTGATTCTGAGATGGACAAATCCTCAGTAGATGCCTGCAACATGTCTGTGTCGGACCCAGCTTCCAACACTTGTGCTGGAGATCGGGAGCCGCCACCATCTAGGTCTGGCCTCAGCCTGTCTCTCTTCCCTTGCCGGAAGCAATCTGGGGCTTGCTGGGCTTTTGAAGTAGCCATGCTGTAGCAGGTAAGATCCCCCCCCCCCACACACCTTATGCTTGGGTATTGTGGTCTAGGGACAGAAGCAATCAACTTAATTTAGTCGATTTATGGCCACGGCGGGAACGGAGCTACTCAGACATGTGACTGCTTTGGTGAACCGGAAGTTCCGCCCCCCTTTGTAATCCTTTTTGAGTTTTTTTCATGTTCTTTGTGCCTTGACAGTTAGGCATGTGGGTAACAGCAGGTGTGGTGAGGCACATACTTTTTTGGACTTTGCACATTATTTTGTGCTTGTTTAAATGTATTTATGCTCAGGGCTAAGAATACAATAAAGATAACAACAAAGGCAGAGCAAAGTAAACTGGTCTCACACTAACCTAGAACATACTGCAACTGCATGTACCTGTAATTAGTTAAACAGACTGAAAAGATTAGCCTTTTTTACATCTGCTTTTGCTGGTGATCCAAAAGAAGGATTTCCAACAAACTTGGAAAATATACCTTCTTGACCACAGAATGATGGTCAGTTCTCTCCTTTGATCAAGAAGCTGTTACCCCACATATTGAAAATGTAATCCCTGAATATTATATTTTTGCAAGTATTTATCCAGTTGCTGTTTAAGGGATCACTATAGGGTCAGGAACACAAACATGTTTTCCTGACCCTATAGTGTTAAAACCACCATCTAGCCCCCTTGGTACCCTCATACCTCCATAAATATAGCAAAATCTTACTGTATTACAAGCCTGAAGCTGTAACTCTGTATGCTGTTTGCCAAAAAACAAACAAAAAAACAAGCAGTGTGCTGACATCATCAGAAGTGGTAGCCTGATC